ATATATATATATATATATATATATATATATATATATATATATATATATATATATATATATATTAGAATGTAATTTAATCCTGTGATTCAGCAGTTCAGTCTTCAGTGTCTCATGATCCTTGAGAAATCATTCTAATATCTATTATTTCTTATTTTCTATATTTATTCTTTTTTTTCTCTTTCTTTTTCACAGATGATTCAGTAGAGAAAATCCCTCTTAACCCTGGGAGAGGTAAAATCATTATCGCAGACAACATTATCAAGTAAGCTACATACTACACACTAAATAAACAGCAACCAAGCCATCATAGTTAGCTTCTTAACATTTATGCATTCATTTAATCCTCAATTCCCAAGTTCTGTTTTTTTATTTTTCTAAATGTAGACCAAAAGAAGAAAAGAACGTCTGATCGGATGAGTTTCATAATGAAATGGACATCAAAATATGTTATGTTATAAAGGGATAGTTCACTCCAAAATTAAAATTCTGTCATTCTTTACCCATAAGACCTATGTTCATCAAAACACAAATGAAGATATCTTTAAGAAAACTAAAGGGATTTTCTTCACTGAAAGTCTATTCCACAAAAACTTCGCTTAATGTTTCAGAAAGTTCATAAAGAGATTACAAAAGAAATAAATATAAATTGAACAGTTTAATACAAGTCTTTTGAAGAGACATGATCGCTTTATATGATGAACAGATTTAATTTAGGCTTTTATTTGCCTATTGATCAACAATCCACATACATATACAGTAGAGAAAATGAAGTTCAACCATGCTTGCTTGACACAAAAGAATGATGTTTGTTTACCCGTGTCACACAAGTAACGCTGAACTTCAGTTCAATCATGACAACTCTCTGAACATTTTAGCATGGTGATGGATATGACAGTGTTAAAGTATTTGGTCTTGGCAGAACAGATCTGCTACGCTGCTACTGAATTGCTGCTGCTGTTGGTTATTGCAGTAATTGTAGATTATTGCTGCTGCTGCAAGCAAGTACAGAAACTTGCTACTGCCAATGCATATGTCGATACGGTGCCATACGTATTTAAGACATACTGCTGCTGCACAAATAGCATATAAAATAACCCGTAGCAGATCTATATAGGTGGAGCTGGGGAAGGTGGAGGGTTTCAGAGAACTCTGAAAGCGCGCTGCAGGAATCTCAAGTGAATGCTAGCCAGCCATATAAATTCAAGGCAGTAAGCTCATTGGCTGCATATGCAGTATGAACCAAGAATATCTCTTTGGTTTTGAGACTTTAGTCTTTGCAACTTCAGGGATCTTATCTATGCACAATCAGCTTGTAACACTCCAAAGAGAAAGGAAAACTTGAAATCGCATCATATGACCCCTTTAAGAATGTGCAAATATAAAAATTTTTATTTGTGAATAAAAGCCTAAATTAAATCTGTTCAAAATATAAAGCGATCATGTTTATTCAAATGACTTAAAACCACTTAATTCATATAGATTACTTTTATAATCTCTTTATGAACTTTTTGTAGTGTCAAAGTTTTGATTACTCGGGCTTTCAGTGGAATGTCAGAAATTTGTCAGGGTTGGAAAAGCTGCCTTTAAAACTATAATATTCCAAACAAAATTCAGATTCAGTCCTTATTTTATATATATATATATATATATATATATATATATATATATGTTGCGTGAAGGGGAAAAAGGGAAAAAGTGTAAGATTTGTCCAATATGTGCTATATTCTAAGTCTGGAATGCTATCATACGCAAACTATTTTTATGATTCTCTTTTGTTCCTTTTTGGAGCCTTACGGTCTATCTTCATTGTACTGAAAAGAACAACAAAGCTAAATATATGGACAGAAGAAAGAATTTTTTTTGACATGAACATTTTTGGGTGAACTGTCCCTTTAAGAAATGTGCTTACAGTGTTACCATTATTATATTGTGTACTTGTGGTCAGGTGCTGAAGGAATATCTGGACAATGTCCAGCTGGGACATATCCTGGAGAGAGAGGCCAGCTGGGACAGTGTGCAGGACTGGATGGATGTCCTCAGTGGAGGAGAGAAACAGAGGATGGCTGTAAGCTCTGATCTTTGCATTTTTTTAATCATTCTCTATTTAGGATGAGACCGATATTAATGTAGCCTGTATTAAATCAGAAAGTCCACGTTTTCTTTATTGAATTGCACAGATGGCTCGTCTGTTTTACCACAAGCCCCAGTTTGCTATTCTGGATGAGTGCACCAGCGCTGTGGATGTGGAGGACTTCATCTACAGCCACTGTCAAAAGGTAGTCAGATGTCGTCGTCTTATACACAATAAATGCAAAAATGTTAGTGTGAAAGGCAAATGCTTATAACAGGGGTGCCCAAACTCGGTCCTGGAGGGCCGATGTCCTGCAGAGTTTAAATCCAACCCCAATTAAACACACCTGAACCAGCTAATCAAACTCTTACTAGGCATACTAGAAACTTTCCAGCAAGTGTGTTGAGGCAAGTTGGAGCTAAACTCTGCAGGACACCGGCCCTCCAGGACCGAGTTTGGGCACCCCTGGCTTATAACATACGGCTAGAGAAGTTACAACAGGTGCTCACCCCACCATGCTCGTTTTCTGTCAAAAGTGAGAAGTCAGGAATGTATTTGTTGCTCCTGTGGGAGTTTGCTTTCGAAACATCTGTCTCCCTGAGCTCATCTGTTCCCTCTTTTCAGGCTGGCATCACACTGTTCACAGTCTCCCACAGGAAATCACTATGGAAGCACCATGAGGTACAACTTAGCCCTGGTCTTTCTTCATAGTTTGCAGAATTCATTAGAAAACCTCAAGTTATGCGCTATGAATTTTTAAAACTCTTTGTATCTCTATACTGCAGTATTACTTGCAAATGCATTGGAAGAGGAAACTATGAGTTTAAACCCATCACGAAGGAAACGGTGGAGTTTGGATCATAATAATGACACGGGGCCTTATTCATGAGCCAATCTTTGTGTAAATCATTCGTAATGTTATTCTTAAATTGTTGCTTGTGAAAATTTGTGCAAGAATGATTTTACACAGAAATTCACACTCATGAATGAGGCCTATCTGTACTAAATGTGGATCTGAAGCAATATTATTGTGTACCTATTGAATTAAAAACTCTATATTATAAGATGTTGAAATATAATGTCTTCATCTGAGGTAAAAGGATTGTAACTCTGTGGATAAATATCTCTCAGGGAGAGGTTACTGCGCATTATCTGAAAAGATTTTTGTAAGGAATAAAATTGGGTTTGTTATACCTTTTAAGAATCAAGCATTTGTAATATAAAAAAATCATGTTTTTTTGTTGTGATACTTGATTTGTGTTTTGAAACTGGAACAGTCACTGATATATGTTGTTGTCAATAACATACTGTTGCATGCCACTGGGACAATAATTATAATACTATGGAAACGGCTCAGGTTACTTATGTAACAATGGTTCCCTGAGTAGGGAACGAGACACTGCATCCTCTAGGGGTCGCTATGGGGAACGCCTCATCGTGACCCGTGTCTGAAGCATACATTGAAAAAACACCAACAACACGTTGGCCATTCGAACTGTGTCCTCTAGGGGTCGCTATGGGGAACGGTATACCCACGCCGCCATGCTGAGGGTAGTGCATGCCAGAAACCATGGTGAGCACTAAGTACCAACTCTACCATATTGCCATGGGAGTTGCCCCTGGGACGTTAGACGGCTGTCAGTGACATTATTCCCTACGGCCAAAGGCCTAGGCTACATACCCCAAAAAACTTACCTGTTAGGGCCAGAACTCCTGGGCCCGGAGTAGAGCTCAAGGCTTGGAATCAGGAATAGATTCCTTTAAGGGAATATGACCAAGAGCCTAGAATCATACTAGTCTTGGCCTGTCACACAGGGGCTACCGCACTCTGTATATGCTGAAGGAACTGTCTCAACAGACCCCTAATAGCAACACCCTGTTAAGTAGGTATCCAGAGTATACATAGGTGGAGTGGCGGAACCGGGGTTTTAAACCACTCAGAAAGAGCACGAAGCTGCTGCTCGTAGCTCTTACCATACAGGATTCTAGAAAATAACACAGAGTACCAGCGTGCGAACTTACCACAGTGTGGATTTTAGAAAGTGTACAAAGACTTCACATGCACACTTAACATGGATTTTGGCTGGCAGTAAATCTGTAGCTGTGGGAGCAAGCATCCAGCTCTCAATCGAGAGGGAGCTCGACCTACAGCATGTTCCAAAGGTGGAACAGCTAGCAGTTACTTAGCTGAGG